CCGCCAGCCGCGAGGCGCCGTCGTCCGGGTGGCGCTGCGCCGCCAGCAGCGCCTGCCGCCTGCGCAAAACACCACGAGCTCCGTCAGCCGCGGCCCGCCACGCGCTCTGCGCCCTGCGCTCGCGACCCAGAGCACATTTGGGACGGCTTTGTCTAAATGCGGCTCCACACATTTGTTATTCGGCGAGTAGCGAGCAACCGCTCACAGAATTCCGAGTAGTGTGGATGAGTTGCTTGCTATTTGCCGACTGACGAACATTCGGTGTTCGCCCTACCCACCGCGTGTCGGTTTTCACACATCAAAAGGAGCGGACATTTGCCGAACGTATCACGTGTTCGGGATTGGGCGAGCAGTAGCCCGCTGCGCGGCGAATGCCGAACGTGTGGAGCCGCTTTTATGCACTATAAGTATCATCACTGATTATTTAGTGTTTCCGAGCGGGTAAACTATTTTGATCTTTTGTCCCGTCACTGAACTTCATTTTATAGCCGAGAGAGAGAGAGACGCGTTTCTCCTTTGCTGGAACGTGAAATCCAACGCCGACTTACTAGTCAGCTTGCGTCATATTCTCTTCCAGGTATCTCACCCGACAGGGGACAGACCCAGACGGGAGAAGCTATAAGCTCGCGACATGTGTGAAAAAATCGTGTGCGTGTGTGAGTGTGAGTGTGTATGTGTGGGGGAGAAAGGGTCACAGATGAGGTAGAAAAATCGCGCGGTCCGCTGCTCGATTTTTAAGGCACTGCTCTGGCATACGTCTGCTACTGATCGGAGAAACCACATAAAACTACCATCCAGAACATCTGTTCCCTACAAGTCTCCTCCAGACAGTGCTTGAAACCAACCTAGCTACATAGCTAGTTCAAAAAGTTACCACCACCTTGACTCTTGGACCTCCCAGTCAGTGAGGAGACACGTGATTTACGTGAAAACGATATCGACAAACATAACGAGTAAGATACGACCTTACACTTCACTTCACAGCGTAGGAGTTTTAGGTTAACCTAACACCAATCTCATCAAAATGGATGCCGTCTGTAGAAATCAGCAGTCGTAAGCCTGGTTGTTTTGCGCTAATGAATAAAATGAATACGGATGTATATTCCCAGTCCTATAGATCTGATGACTGTAGGTTAATTGAATATTTCTTGGACCGTGTTCGTGATTCTTTCGGTGATTTGTCAATCAGATTAGTCGAGAGCAGCGATAAATTCTAAACATGCAGCCATAATGGAGCGTGTGGAAGTAATATCACATATGTGAATCATACATAGTTAATATGACTGTGATTATCTCTGACGTCTTATTTTTGCTTTTAACGACTTTATTTTGTTACAGTACTTAAGTTATTACAAAAATATTAAATGATGAAGTTTGTATTTCTTAATTCTATGAATTCCAAACCAATGTTTTTATATCAAACCATAATTAATATATTAAGGTGTGTGTCAAGCAATAAAGTTAAATGTCATCAGTTCTAGGGTCCTATTACGTTTTCGTTATACTTGCACTTCTGAATGGCTCAGACAAGAACCTCACCAAAAGAGGCATGATACGAATGGAGAACGGCAGCTGTTAAGACCAGACACTTTACATACAATCGAATAGCAAGATAAAGTGCATTCCAAGAAATAAGAAAGTTATTCAGTTTGTGAAAAGATAACAGAGTATTGGCAAAATTGGCTTCATCATCTTCAACGAATGAATCCGAAGGAGTTCTCGCCTGACAGTTTGGTTTTGTCCCTTAGTGTCTTTTAAAAGTCGTTCTACAGAAGGTGAAGAGATTCAAGTGCCAACTCACACCTGAAAGGACCCAAAAGCCAAATTGTGTGTGTTGCAGATGCAGAGAAAGCAAATCAGCTCGATTCAGCTCACACGTGTCGAATACCACTTGAAACGTGAATGGAAGTCGCGCCAGTTGGCTATTAGATCACTATCATTCTAGGAGCGCACGACGACGTGCATCTCAACGAGGCATGATAATCCGCGGCTCGACCTGTCGCTGGCAAACACCAGAACAAACCGGCGCTGAGTGCAGGCGCCCGGCCGGCCAACCTGCTGGGCAAGGACACGGGCGCCGGCCACAGCGAGCTGCTCGTCCTTGCGGCTCAGTCACGCCCCGCTCATAGAGGCAACTTTCTAGAACGTGCTCCCCCAGACAAATTACCGCGAAGCGCAGAACACCGACGGACATTTCACATATCTCTTCAGAATGAGAATCCTGTGACTTGTGAACAACAATACGCTTCTGAACAGCTGCTATACTCTTTAATAGAACAATGAGGCAGAAAAAGTGTGGCGAAACAGTAGCTCATAATTTTGAAGTACGTGTCTCTATATTAGGAGTTTCACGAGGGAACTAATTTCAAGGCAAACTACTCAATAATATGGACTCGAAAATTACGTATAAAACGACGTAAATTGAGTTCATATATAGTAGCCAATGGTGTCTTTACTTGCTTTATAGTTAACAACGAGGGGGAAATTAAATTAAAATATCTACCCAACTAAATTAAAATTTTCTTCATTAGCATGATTTTATGTAACTCGAAATGAACGAATCAGAATTTCATTCAATATTTATATGCTCCTGCAATTAACAGTATTTTATTTTATTTGTTTTGGATGTAGCTCATATTGTGAATTGTTTCTCATGCTCAGATTCATTGCCCTCTGCTCCCAGAATGTCCAGTCCATTAGATAAAGGCAGACAGACTAAACTGTTAGAGTAACACTAACAGAGTTACGTAATTTGCAGGTTCATGCTCTGACTGCACCTAACGTAAGGCGAACTTCGTCACCGAAAATGGAGACAACGGAAATGAAAGCGACGTTTCTCGCTTTCTCCATCCGGACGCGGGCGGAGGCG